TTATGTCAGCCTTGCAGGAAGGCTCTCCCCAGGGAGCAGCATGCAAATGCCCTGGTGGGTGCTGGGTGGGGAGAATGAGGGAGGGAGGGGCCTCCTTGTGAGCCCAGGGACATCAGATGTCTTCTAAAGTTGGAGGAATTAGAGCAGAGTTACAGCCCTGGGTGCCTGTGGTGTGGGCACGAAGACCCATCATGGAAGCCTCACTCTGTGAGGGGTCATGGTGCCCAGGGCCTGCCCTCCTAAGACAGCACAGATGCACAGATAAGTAGGTGGCCTGCAGGTCAGCCTGTGTGAGGGATATGACCATCCTACTGTCTTCCTCTCAGCTGAGAAGAGAAGGTGACAAGTGCCACCTCACAATTGTTGATATTTGAAATTTCCTCCAGCCAAAGCATGCAGTTGAAGAGGTTCAAGGGCTTCTGGTGTCTGACGTTACCTGGAGAAATACAAGAGCATCAGGGACAGTTTAGATGTCACTTTTTCCTGGCCCAGTGACTGAAATAAGAGCAGAATTGTGACAAGAAGCTGGTGGGAAGAGAAATCTTGTTTCAGCTGAGGATCAAGTATCCCTGCTCAAGGGAAGAGGGCAAGGAGCATGTCCCCTGAGGTAGTCACTGTGAAGCTCCTGGGGTGAGGTGTATAACTGGTGGCCATCCTTTTCTAACCATCTCCATGCATGTGACACTCATAGCCACCAAACATTTCCCAAGAGATGGACCCCTGAGTCCACTGGGCAGTGTGGACAAGGAGGATTCTGCATTAGTTCCTTCTCATAGATAATAGAGACATCCCTCCCCATGTTCTCCTCCTTGTCAGGGACACTAGGGAGCAGGTGCCACCACCCTGGGTTTTAAAGTAGATGCCCTAGGTCAGAACTGCAACCAGGCACTCTCCCCATGTCAGGGGTTCCATGTGCACAACTGTTCTCCTGGGACTGGCCCCGAGGTGTCTTGGAGAGAAGGTCCTTTTCCCTGCACAGGGACATTGATTTCAGCCCTCCTCATCCAGAGAGAGCATGTATTGTGTTGGCCAACGTGGCTGTGCTGCTTTTGTCCCCAGCCAAGGACATCTGACACAGCCTCTCCATTGTGTGGAACTTGGGCCACCAGCAGCGGAGGACCCTGCCATATATTTCTTAATTTAACTGAACCTCTGTGGCTGTCCTGCCCTTTCTTTGCTCTAGCTTTTGCACAGGAGGGTGATATTGGATCCTCACCTTCCAGAGTCGGGCTATTTCCTTTGTCATGATGTTCTCCACTTCCATCCATTTGCCTGAAATGCCACCATTTCCTTCTTTTTAAGGCCACTTGTTCAGCCTGGATTGTGTGGGTGTGGACAGATCAGAAGGAGCTCTGTGCAGAAGAAGGCAGAACCTGACCACACTGCAGAGAGAGCAGAGAGCTGATGGTCCCCTCAGCCATGAGCCATGTGAGACACATGCTTCTTGAGTTTAGTTTTCTGATCCTTCTGATGAGATATGGCAGTGTGATGTCTCTCTTAGTTTTCTGTTGCTGAGCAACAAATTCCCACCTATTGAGCAGTGTGTTCCTTCCTGGACCTGTTCCTCAGGAGTCCATGCTGGGTCCTCAGCTCAGCCTGAGAAGACTGAAATGGAGCAGACAGTGGGCAGCTCTCCTTGCTGAAGTTCAGGGTCTTCTTCCAGGTCCAGTGGCTGAGGCAGAGTCATCTTTCTACAGTTGTCGGGTGAGGTCCCAATTTCCATGTGGCCATCAGCACAGAGCTCCTGGACACTGCCCTAATTGTTTGAAATGTGGCTCCTGCTGCATCCAAGAGCTGCATAAGAGCATCTCCTCACATCCAGGTTTCATGGCCTGAGATCCTCCTTCTTCTGCCTCCATGTGCAGATGGACAGGCTTCAATGTTGAAGACAGATCTAGTGTGTACTCTCTCTCTCTCTCTGGTAGATTCAACTTATTTGATTATGTCACAAAATCTTTCATAAGAAATTTTATTGAAATTCCTGTTTGTGTACCTGGGGAGTGAGATGGTACAAGGCCTGGGGTTTGGGGTCAACAACTTGGAATCCTGTCCACATACTACCATTTTTTTTCACCTACCATAATGATTGGATCCCTGTTGGATATTCAGAATTGCATACTGTTTGGAGGAATCAGATTTAATAAGATCAGGTGATTCCAGGTAAGCAGAGGATAAAGAGGTAACCTGCAGTTGGCACAGGAATGACAAGGGCTTTCACCGTGTTCCTGTGTGCCAGCTGCACCAGGCACTAAGTCCTCAGGAACACATGGCCTGCTTCTCTCCTTGACCCACAGGTTCTCCCTGCCTTAGCAGACTCCTCAGGCTCCCTGGCTGAGCTCAATGGCCTCCCAGCCTCAGGCCCTGTCTTCCTCCACACACTGACTCTGTGTCTTCCTTCCACAGGACCAGCCTGTCCCTCTCCCAGCCCTGAGCAAGGCTGCTGTGCAGATTGGGAATGTGAGAAAGGTCCTTGCATGGACTCCCAGGCTAGACTCCCAGGCATCAGTCTTGGTCGGTTCACCTATGGATCCCCACCTTAGACCTGCTGACTCATAGTCCTTTCATGATATTTCATTGCCCAGCTATCCATCCTGGTGCCCCATGCTGATGTCGTCATGGAAACCAGACACCTGGCCTTGTTGTAGGCAGGCTGGTGGCTTCACCTGGTACCCAGGTCTCTTCCCAGCTGGAGGAGGTTTGGGATGCTCCATGCAGTACCCAATCGGGAGGATTAGAATCTTGGCTCTGTCTTAATGATTGTGTGTGACATCAGGTTAGTTTCTTCACTTTCCCCACATCTCAGTTTCTCATTAGCAACATGGGAAAAATAACATATCCTTAGAGAGTTGCCTGAGGATTCACTTGAATAGCATGTGTGAATATTGTGTACTTTAGTATCTGGGCACATACCACATTCTTAGTAATCACTAATTTTTATTGCTTAGATCAAGTTTCCTGGGAAACAAATATACAGAGGGGTTGATGGTCAATGACTTTCGATATTCTTCTGTTTTGCACAGTAACCCGTATCATCTTAAAACAACAAAGCAGCTGAACTTGGGGTGCATCCTTGGGATCCCAGTGACTTAGAGTGCTGGGGTAGGAGGATTGCAAATTAGAGGCCAGCCTGGGCCACTTAGCAGGACTTTTTCAAAATAAACATAAATAATCAAACCAAGATACCTGTCACATTCTCCCCTGGGTAACTCTTTGGTGGTTTCTCACTGAGCTTAGAAGCTTATTTTTGTTGTCCTAGGGAGACACCCTTGTTCCCCGCACTTGGCCTGTGGGTTTGAAGCCTTGCAGGAGCTCTGTAACCCTGCTGCCTAGATCTCAGCCCATGGAGAGAGCCACTGCCTTGGTAAGCGTGGGCCTGGCATTTCCTGCTCCCCCCCCCCCAGTTTCCCTGCAGTTCTAGAGATCTAACCCAGAGTCTCCCACATAGTAAGGAGCCCACACCTGCCAAACGTACCTTCAGAACTCAGACGTAGGTGAGCTGTGACGGTGGTTTCAGTGACCACCCTGACCCCTGTTGCTGTCTGGTGGTATTTCTTAGCAGGCCCCTCTCCCTGGATCTCTCTACCTTGCCCCCTCTCTGACCTGCCCATCACTGAGTCTTTCTCTCCCAGACTTCTGCCTACACTTGCAGAAACTGCTGCTGCCTCCCTTCCTCTGGTTTTCTGTGTCTCTGGACCTGCTCAGAGCCCTAGAACTGTCTGCTGAGGAGTCTGGGTGGTGGGCCTTTATCCCAAAGTTTCTCTTCTGCAGGGAGCTGGAACCCTGACCCTTCTATGTGCAGGGCTGTGTTCCCAGGCCAGTCCCCTCTGCATGAAGACAGGGTTATTTGGTGTTTAGAAGTCATTTGTGCTCCTGGCCTCCTAGCACATGTCAGAGTAGGCCAAAGCTAAAGAGGCCTTGGCTCTGGAGCCAAGTTTAACAAGCTCCCCAATTTTGGTATGTGTGTGAGTTACATTTAAATGCAATATTAAAGAAAACTAAATGAATGTAAATATACTTCAGTATTAAATAAAGTGAGAAATTTTTTAAAAGGATCTATCTTGAACATGAAGACACAAATAGGGAAAGTTTTGTGTTGTGGCATTTTGGATTGAAGGATACGTCCATGTGTGGATGTTCTTTTATTTTATCTATCTATCTATCTATCTATCTATCTATCTATCTATCTATCAATCTATTCATTTTTTGTCACCAGCTGGGGATGCAAGGGGGTTGAGAGAAGTGTGGTAAGCTGGTATTTAAGGACCATCTCAGCAGGGGACTACATAGCTTCTGTAGTGCATAGAGCCACCTGTGTGTGGCGCTGTCTGCCCTGGGGTGTCAGGAGTGTCTCTCATGAGGGCAGAGCACTAGGGGTCCCTTTGGATGAACCAAGTCCAGGTCCTGGCGTACACAGGTTCTGTTTGAGTCTGTTTCCCACATGTAGAATGCAAACAAAGGACAGGCAAGGGGTCTGACTCTTCATAACCCTATATTCTGAGATGCTGAAGCAGCTCTGAGCCATTGGCCCTGCATCACAGGAATCCTCACAAGAGGAAGGCAAATGGCCCTGAAAAAGGAGAGACCTTCAGGGGACTATGCAAAGTGTGGTCTGGACCAGCAGAGGGCAGCAGTGAGCACTCTCCTTTCAAGATTTCCTTCAGATCTTGCAGCTGTTCAGGGACCCTGCAGGAGATGGTGTTTGTACCATTTCTGGAAAATTAGGGAGAGCTGGAGAGTACAGGGGAAATTTGTCATTGTTCCTTGTGGAGTCAGGAGGCTACTGTAGACCCTGGTCTTGCTGCACATTAATGGGAGATTTTTTTTTTTTTTTGTCTCTTCTCATGTTAGGGTGGGCAAAGCTGTAGCTCACTAGATGGTGTGAGCCTGGGCACTGTGAGGCCACTTGACCTCAGGGAGCATCTCTCTGGAGTGACCTCTTACTTGGAAGTCTCATGGAAGAAGAGATATATTTAAGTTCACACACACAGACAGTATAATAGGCACAAATTTTATTACTTGTGATGAGAAAAAGATAAAGTTTCCAAGCTGAGGTTCAAACTGTTCCAAGAGACAAGAATGGGAACAGGAAGGTATTTGTTCACTTTACACTGGTCCTAGATGCCAAAAGAAGTCCATCTTGTAGGAGATCATGAAATAAGTTCAGTGTATTTGGAAAGGTGTATGTTGGATGTTTTTGATCCAGCTGTTTCTTGGATCTGGACTCTGTACAGGAGAAAGAGGACAGGACACCTGGTTTTACTTGACACCTGGTTTTAGCCTAAGCTTGTTCTGAACTCAGTGAGGGACCTGGTTAGACACATCTGCTCTGCCCTCTTCCCTTGTTCCCAGGCATAACAGTGAGTTCTGAACTTCTCTCTGGGTGTGAGTGTATGCCCTTTTGATAGACAGGTGGGCGAGCTGGTTTCCTGGAGATTTAGAGCATTATTGTGGAGAGCAGAGGGCACAGGACCCTGTGGACACAGAGGTGGCTCACCTTCAGGTAGGTTCCTCTCACTGAAATCTGTATTAGGATGTTCCACTTCTTGCCCACCAGAGGACGATGTGAACCTGGAAATACACTCACCATAGCCTCAGCCCTGGAGAAGCAGATCTATATTTCAAGAATAAATTGTATTTTACATTTTTATCTGTTAAGACAGCATCATTATAGGAACTGAATGAGACATCATGGTCTCTTGTTGCTGTCACTTAGTTGTCTTTTGTGCATTCACAGCATTCAGGATGGAGGTCACCACTGTACTTGTCACAGCAGGCAGCATAGCATATTGTTAAGGCTGTGTGCTCCTGGGCCAGGCAGGGGTGCTTCACACAATCCTGTGGGGAACCAGGCTAGGGAGGCTCCATCCTCATGTGTGCACCATGTGGAGCCCATGGCCTCCTTCCTCTGCTACTGTGGGAGAGAAGGCCTGGAATGTGAGTGACTTATTGAACATTATTTTTATCTGTTAAAGAAAACTGTCCCCCCACCATCACTCTTTAACAAGGCAAACCATGAAAGAGAAAACAAAAGATACTCTTTATTTTTAGAGATATGTCAGCTCATTATCACTCTTACACTTCATGGACAATTCAGGAATTACTCAACACTTCCAGGCATAGACCTTCTTTCTGTGATGCTAACATTATGTCAGGTACATGCATGTTTACGTTACCCAGGGAAACAACATTACTTTGTGTGGCGAATAGACAATACAGCTTTGCCATCAGTTTTTTTTTTTAAACTTCTTACTGTTTCTCTGCATGTATTGTATAATTTTGTGTAAAATATTGCCCCACCCCAGCAGCTAAGCCATTAGCATTTTATCCTCCCCACCACCCTGCCTTTCTGTGTGTAAGGAATCTGGCCGGGGCTTCCTGTGTGGCTCTGGCTCAGGGTTGGTCTTGAGTATGTTGGGGGATGTTGGTCATTGGTGGAGCAGGTGCCTCTTGGGCAGAAGCTCTGGTTTCCATTCCCACAGCCAGAGGAATGACTTTTTCCACTCTTAAACAGTATAATTTTTAATTACATTTATTTCCCTTTTTTCTGCTAACACACTGCTTTTCAAGCTCTCCAGGTTTATGTACAGCTCCATCTGTACAAGGTCATTTGTGCAGCCAGTATTAGTGCACATTCACCCACTAATTCATGCCTCCTTGTGTCTGCCTTTTACACCCTCCATGTCTCTCTGAGTGATTGCTCTTTGTGAGCAGCGTCTTCAGTGGTTTCTCCAAACAAGGACAACTAACTGTCTGGTTTTAATCAGTTTCCCTTCACCAAAATTGCTTCTTTCACCTTTATTGGATTCCAAATATTTAAAAATTACCTATTCACAGCATTCTTTTAAAATTTACAAAATTTTTCTTCTACATAAATAAATATTCACATATAAATTTAATACTCATCACAAATAGGACCTTGAGATTTCAGTTACATTCACCAGGAGCTCTATTATGTAGGAATCACCTTCAACACCACGGCACAACCTTTCACCCTCTTGGTGACATATGAGTGACTTTTCCAACTCTGATCCTTCCCAAGATGAAGGCAGGGAGTCAAGGGTATCAGGCAGGGAGAGTGGAAACTGCATCCTCACTATATCCCAGATGCTTCCTGGAAAAAGAAGAGAGAAATACAAGATTGAGTGCCCAATTAATAAGCCATTTCCATCATTTTCCTTTCATAAGTTATTACAGGCTTAGGCATTTTTTTTGTGTGTGATTAGATTTGAATCCCAATTTCACACACACACACACACACACAAAAACCAGCATTTGCAAGCATAAAGGGACCTGCAGAAGATCCCTACACCAGCCCTGCCTGCGCCAGAGTCCTGCCCAGGGCCCAGGTCTTCCTATTGCAGTGTCCATGCTCATCCTGTCTGCTCATTCAGAAGGTCCCTGGACACCTCTGTGTTGTCTTCCACATGCCAGGCCAGGCTGCTGCAGCTGACAAGGCCCCTCATGGTCCACAGCCCTCAGCTGCACCTGTTCCCTGAATTCTCAGCACCTTCCTCTCACAGGGCAGAGAATCTTCTGAGCTGCTGCCCAAACCAGAGCTCATGTGGCAGCTGGGCCACCCAGGCAGGGAGGTTTTTGTTCATGGCTGCACTACTGTGGGAGGAGCATGTGTCCCTTGCAAGCCTTAATACACCCCAGCATCCTCAGGCTCCACCCTGCTGATTCTCATTGTGAACTCTGTCCCTGAGCCACTGCTAGTGAACCTGTCGGAGACCCCAGTGTTTTGGTTGGAAACCTTATATATTAGGTGCTGTGGAGCCTGGCCTGGCTTGTGCACAACCCAACGCAAATAGGTGTTTCCATTACTGTGTAGGTTCTCTGACTGGACCTGCAGGAGATGGAGGCTGGCTGTCCAGGGGCAATGGGCTCAGAGAGAGGAGTCTGGGTCAGAACAACATCCCAACTGAATCCTGGGAAAACCAAAAACAGGACAATGAAAGGTCATGCAAAATCTTTAGGAGAATTTGTGCTTTTTCCTTTATTGTGTATTTTAGGTTAACTTATTATTGTGATTTTTATTTATACAGTAGAATTATTCATGTTTAAAAACACCTCAAATATTGTAACCTATAAGAACTTCTGTAGAATTTACCTACAATACCTCCCCCTAATAATATTATGTGACAACTTTGATCAGAGCCAGTCCCTTGCTCCTTCTGGAATACTGTCTCACATCAGTTGACCTCAGCTGCCTCATCCTGGAGGACAGACCTGCACATCTCTCATGTGGACACAGCACATATGCACAGAAGGGGGGCCCAGGTCTCACCTCCCTCCCCCTTATCCCTCCCCATCCCCTCTGTCCTCACCAGGGATCCAGAGCAGCAGCAGCCCCAGGAGCTGAGCAGGGAGCCTCATTTTGAGAAGCTGAGCTGAGGAGTCCTGGTGAGTCAAGGGCAGGTTAGAGCTGAGCTTTTATGTCAGCCTTGCAGGAAGGCCCTCCCCAGGGAGCAGCATGCAAATGCCCTGGTGGGTGCTGGGTGGGGAGATTGAGGGAGGGTGGGGCCTGCCTTTTGAGACCAGGGACATCAAGTATCTTTATATTTGGAGGAAATAGTGAAACAGCCCATGGTGCCTGTGGTGTGTGCAGGAGGTCCCATCAGAAGCCTGACTCTGTGGGAGGTCATGGTTTCAGGGTCTGTTACCTGAGATAGGAGAGATCGAAGGACATTCAGGCTGCCTGCTTCTCAGCATCTGGGAGGAAGTCACATCCTGCTGACTTCATCCAAGATAAGGAGACAAGGTGACAAGTCCCACCTCAGAAGAATAGATTTTCTGAATTTTCTACCAGCCACAGCATGCAGTTGAGCTACATCAAGAGCTTCTGTGTCTGCTGTGACCTGGAGAAATACAAGAATGTCAGGGGCAGTGTTAGAGGATGTCTCTTCATAGCCTAATGAATGAAATAGGATCACAAGGGTCAAAAGAAGCTGGTGGGGAAAAGAAACCTGTGACTCAGCTGGAGATCCAGTAGCCCTGCCCACAGCAAGAGGAGAAGGGACATGTCCACCTGAAGCTGTGAGTGTGGAATTCACATGAGGTAGACCTATAAATGGGTGGTCATCCTGTCCTATTCATCTCCATGTGTGTGACTCTCAGAGTGAGCCAAACCTTTTCCTAGAACCCCCTGAGGTCATTTCACAGAGTGGACAAGGGAGGATGTCTTGTTAGTTTCCTCTCAGTGAAGACAGGGAATTCCTCCCCCTCTGCTGTTCCATGTCAGGGACATTGGGTTGCAGTTGTAACAAGTCCTGTGTTTAAAAGTAGATTCCCTGGGTTGGAACAGGACTGTGTCCTCTCTCCATTTCTCAGGGTGATTCCCTCTGCACTCGCAGTCTCCTGGGTCTTGCCTCAAGTGGCTCACTGGGGAGAGGGCTCTGGGTCACTGCACAGGGACATTAGCTTCAGCTTTTCCCTCCCAAGCTGGAGACAGTGAGCCTGTTTTGTTTTTGGCCCACAAGGCTGAGCTGCTTTTCCAGAGAACCCAGGTCCTCTGACACACCCTTTCCATGGTGTGGAACACAGTGTGGGGCCCTAAGCAGCTCAGGACCCTGACATGGTTCCTCTTAATCCCTGTGAACCTCTGTGGCTGTCCTCCTGTCCCCAGTGAGCAGCTTCCCTCTGAACACTAAGGAACAGCTGTGTTTGTAGTTCTCCAGATCACATTCTTCAGGTGCCTTTTCTAATGAGTGGCTTAAAGGAAATGAAAGTGATTTTCTCAGGTCTCATTGGGCAGCAATAGGCAAAGCTCAGAGTTTCAGAAGGTCTAGAGGGTGGGACATCTCTCTGGAAAGTGGGTTGGACAGAGTCACTCATCTTTCCTCTCCTTGCCCTGAGCACCTCCTCTGGCCATGTGCTGTGGTGCCCTCAGGATGTGGCCCTGGTCTGTCCTGATTATAAAATCTGATTATAAAATCATATTTTATACCTGATTTAATTATTAAGCTATTTTCTAGGTAGCTAGGTTTTCCTTTGCCAACATTATACTTCAGTGCCCTGCTTAAATTGACAATGTTTTGACTGGTGCATTACAGTGTGCATAATATTGGGCTTGGGACACAATCTTACAGGAATGGAATTTAATTCACTCTATTTCAGTCCTCAGTGCCTCCCTTTTCCCTCTCTTTTCCCTTCCCATATAACTCTCATGTTCTCTCCTTGCCTTCCTTCTGTTTACTTTTTTAAATTAATTTTTGTTTATTTGGTCCATTTATTTTTATTTTGGAAAAGGCAAAAATACTTTACCTGATCAAATTATTAATTCTCCATGTGCATAAGTGTTTGTTTTTTAAAAAATATAACATTTTACAATGTTCCTTACAATTCTTGTTTCTTTTTTTTTATTTTATACATACAAACAGTTTAAAATGTTTATTATGTAAGAGCAGTGTTTTGTTTACAATATATATTATATTGCTTCAAGCCAATGCAAAGACTTCATACATTATATTCCCTATCTCATTGTGTTTACAATATATTATATTGTTTAAATGCCACTACCACAGTGTCAATTTTTGTTTTTTCTTTTTTCAATACTGAACTCTCTGGAGTAATGATAAGGTCGAAATATGTTGTATAAGAGCGTACAAATAAGGGCAATTAAAAATGTAACAAATGTCTAAATATATGACGATAAAATTTGAAATGCTGTAACTTCAACATGATTAACTGCTTCAGGTAGTTTTATTCACTAGGAGAAAAAAGCCCCACAATTTTGCCTGGACATGTTATATGGGCATTTCCTGTCCTGTGCAAAGACCAGGATGTGTTCTCCAGAATCTGTGTGAAAAGGTTTCTACATTTTCCTCAATCTAAAAATCTCAATTTTCTATCTACAGAAATTTGGGTTGAAAGTTAGTTTTTAGTATTTGAAGATGTTGTTTGTGTTGCTTTTCTTCCACTGCCTTCTTTCTTTCCTTCCTTCCTTCCTTCCTTCCTTCCTTCCTTCCTTCCTTCCTTCCTCCCTTCCTTCCTTCCTTCCTTCCTTCCTTTCCTCCCTCCCTCCCTCCTTCCTGGCCCTCTTTCTCCCTCTCCTCTCTTCTTCATATGATGTGTTATTTTGCAGCAGGTCTTATTATTTTACTAGCATTATTAGTCTATATTAATTGGCTTAACATTTTTTTGAGTAATGAATCCACTCTGAGTTATATTTGAGGCAAAATAGAAGCTCTTCATTAATTCATCAGCCTGTTTACAGATTTAGTCTCTGCTCAGAACCCACCATCCAGGCAATGTGCCTCCCTATCTGCTGAGGGCTTTGCATGGGCCCTGCACCAGCCCAGCTGCCACATTTTATAAACAAAGTCATTGCCATGAGACCTGAGCTGACTCAGGCAGGCAGGGGAAGCAAGATGATGTCCCAGACACCGTGGTTCTTGTTTCTGTGGCTCTGGGACTTCACTGTCTTCATAATCATAGAGTTGGAAAAGCCATTAAAACACGTGCTGGGAAATTATGGTGAATTCCAATATGGGCTTAATTATGAGCTCATCACACATCCCTGGAGAATGGATGTTAAATGATATTTCAAAGTACATATTATGAAATGTGCACATGTGTGTGAGTGTGTGTGTGTGTGTGTGTGTGTGTGTGTGTGAGAGAGAGAGAGAGAGAGAGAGAGAGAGAGAGAGAGAGAGAGGTCAGGGTCCACTCCTGATTTTCCTGATTGAAGGTGCCTTTGGGTACAAGGTGAGACCCAATCTCCAGGCTCCCTGGCTGTGTCTGCAGGAGACATGGTCACCATCAGCTGCAAGTGTAGCCAGAGTCTTTTATCCAAACACAAAGACTACGTGGCCTGGCCCGAGCAGAATCCAGGACAGGCTCCCAGGCTCCTCTCCTGGGCATCCACATGGTCGGCTTGAATCCCATGCAGCTTCAGGGGCAGTGGGTCAGGAGCACATTTCACTCTCCCCATCAGCAGCCCCAGGTTGAGGACTTGGCACATTGTTCCTGTAGCAACATCACATTGCTCCTCCCAAGAGCCTCAGCCTTAGACACAAGCCTCCACCAGGCTGAGGGCCAGGGAGCCTTTGCTCACAGGGCTCTGGGTTTTCCTGCTTCCTCTCCCCTCACAGGTGACATATTTTGATTAATTTCTTGGAGGATTTGCAGGGCCCAGGAGAAAATCAAGAACAGAATCTTTATTGGCCATGTAACTGCTTGTTCATCTCGTGGGAGTCACCAAGCACAAGGCTGGGCAGGTCTCCTGGGGAAAGTACAAGACTTTTCAGGTGACAGGAATCTGTGTGTTTCCATGGACAGATCACGTGACTGAGCAGGCATTAGTCTTCACCTCAAAGGAGAATCTGGTGGCTTCCACACTCTGATGACTAGTACTTCCCTGTGCCTCATCCAATATAGAAGATACCAAATTTTATTCCTTTTCATCCTGGCCTCCTTCATGACGTGAAATCTCCTTCCACCTGGGTCCCTCCAGTATGAGATTCTTCACCCAGCAGATCACCCCTCTCATAGAGAGTCTCTCTCTCTCTCTCTCTCTCTCTCTCTCTTTCTCTCTCTTATTACCTACCCCTCTGTTTTCATCCTTGGTCAGACCCTGGCTTCTGAGGAGCCTTTCTGGTGAGGTCCTCTGTATGTGGTCCCCTGCTCTCCCTCCTCTTGTGGTTGCTTGCTCTCCCTCCTCTTGTGGTTCTCTGCTCTAACTTCTTTCAGTTGTTAAATCAGTTTCCTTTTTAGTTCCATAGTTTATTACAAAATTGCATAAAATAAATTTCTGGGCAAAAGATGAATTTCCACTCTGGGTGAAGACCTCTGATTCTTTACCAGAGTCCTTCCCTGGGCCCAGGTCCACCTCCTTCTGCAGTGTCGACTCTCATCCTGTCTGCTCATTCAGAAGGTCCCTGGACACCTCTGTGTTTGTCCTCCACATGCCAGGCCAGGCTGCTGCAGCTGACAGGTCCACTCATGGGTGTGGTGTGCTATGGCCCAGGCAGTCATGGTCCACAGCCCTCAGCTGCACCTGATCCCTGAGTTCCCAGCACCTTCCCCTCACAGGGCATAAAATCTGCTGAGGTGCTGCCCAGACCAGAGCTCATGTGGCAGCTGGGCCACCCAGGCAGGGAGGTTTTCGTTCGGGGCTGCACCACTGTGAGAGGTAACTCTTTACCTTGCTGGCAGTAATATATTCCAGCATCATCAGGCGGCACCCTGCTGATTTTCAGTGTGAAATCTGTCCCTGACCCACTCCCACTAAACCTATCTGAGACTCTAGTGAACCAATTGGAAACCCGATATATTAGGCCCTGTGGAGCCTGGCCTGGTTTGTGCACAAACCAACTCAAATAGGTGTTTCCATTACTGTGTAGGAAGCTCTGACTGGACCTGCAGGACAGGGAGACAGACTGTACAGGGGTGATGGGCTCAGAGAGAGGAGTCTGGGTCATCACAATATCCCCAC